GAATAGTCATGTCTGTTCTAAGGCTACCACCTTTACCAAGTCTAAGAGATATATTGAAGATATATAAATTAACAGCTATCAAACAACTTTCTCAGAATTTCATCTTGGATACAAACTTAACAGATAAAATAATTAGAAAAACAGGAAATCTTGCTGATTCTTGTGTGTTAGAAGTTGGTCCTGGACCGGGTGGATTGACTCGATCCATTTTAAACCAGCGACCAAAAAAACTGATTGTCATAGAAAAAGATACGAGATTTCAAACTACGTTAGATATGTTGGCAGATGCTTTCGCATCAGTTAATGGCGAAATGCAAATTATTTTTGATGACATTATGAAAGTAAACATGAGTAATTTGTTCCCTACAAGCGAAATAAAAGCTTGGGAAGATAAATCACCGCGAATTAAGTTAATTGGTAATCTACCTTTCAATGTATCAACACCACTCATAATAAAGTGGCTGAAAGCAATTAGTGAAAGAACGGGAGCCTGGGAATTTGGTAGAACAAGAATGACACTAACGTTTCAAAAAGAAGTTGCTGAACGTTTAGTGGCTGAACCATTAAACATACAAAGATGCAGATTGTCTGTAATGGCACAAGCTTGGACGCGCCCAATATTGCATTTCATTATACCAGGTATATTACACGATTTTTACTTTATAATATTTTGATCTTTTGTTATTTATAAAATTCATTTCGTGTTTATTCTTTGAAAATAGGCTCGGCCTTTGTTCCTAAACCAGATGTTGATGTTGGTGTTGTAACATTTGTCCCCTTAAGTGTCCCACGAACAAAACACGAATTTGGTATTTTTGAGAAAGTAACACGGCACATTTTTCATTATCGTCAAAAATATAGTATACGTGGCGCTGAGTAAATATACTTTGTACATATAGAAATGTTTAAGTATTAATATGATTTTAAAAGTTTCAATTGTCTTTTCAGAACATTATTTCCTATAGAACACCGAACTGAACTAGCACAAACGATGTATAAACTTTCTGACTTGGATCCTCACCTAAGACCAGTACAACTGACGGTAGAAGATGTAGATAAACTTGTTAGTGCATATAAGTATTTATTAGAAAAGCATCCAGATATAGAATTCTATGACTATCGTTCATCTCGACGCATTATATCACAACGTCATGCGAAGAATATTGAAATTGTAGATTGTACAGATTTATAATCTATATACTAAATAAATT